AACTTGGGTATTTCGAGTTGACAACAAATATTGATATTTACCAGCTTCTTTCCATTTTACTTCTTATAATAATAAATTTACTAGACCGTGTTTTGTTAAATTTGATGAGCTAACGCTTGTATTGTGGCATACTTCTGTTCAATAGAACTTAACTAACACATTTTTTGTCCTCCGTTTACTAACATTCAGTAATAAATGGCCTTTATTTAGGGCTTAAATGAGACTGGAAGACGAATAAGGTATAAAGCAAAATAACCTAATTTATTAAAAGGTCATTTGTTTTCAGCGAAATAAATTAATTTTGCAGGATTAATTCTGCTTTTTTACGAAGAGTTCCTCAAATGTCATGTTTTAGGCCCACTGTCTTCATCAATTACGTTAAATAAATCACAATGGAAAAGTCCGTTAATTCTTATATAGATAAATGTTGTTTAATTACCCTAGTTTAATGAATTATTTTGAACTAGTTAATCTCAAATCCTGAATAATTGATGATTTAGATCAAATAGTTGTTAAACATATCAAAACTTTGAAGGATTATAATTATATTAAAATATAACTTATGTAGATAGTCTTGCTGCTGCAATATGGGTGAGAATCGCAAAACGTAATTTTCTCCTAAATTCGACCGCATCATTTTCTTAGATGCTTTCAATAATTGCACAACTGAAATAAGCAAAATAATTTTCAATGGTCGACGAATCGTAGATTTGTGCTGAATTACAGCTTGACGCCGACACTTTCTGCCGCTTTGTTTGTGAATGATGCAGTTGGTAAAATAATTAATTTCTTCGCATCTATGGGATGATTTTTCACATTATCTAAATTGAATTTTTATGAATATTACGACATATCAGCAGCTGCAGAGAAAGCGCTAGGTAAACGAAAAATAAACAAAAATGGAAAGACCAACTGGAAGCCATGGTTTACAGACGATATCAGAATTCTTGCATCAGAGAAAGGAAATGCTTACGCAAACGCAAAGAAGTCAAGCTATCACATATGACGAATACAAAATGGCGAGAAACAGAGTGAACATAGAAATTCAGGCTATCAAGAGAGGGTTCTGGGAGATATTCAGTAGACATGGCGACACACGATCTATACAGAGGACAAAGAAATATATGTAGTATGCTACAAAACCGCAAAAGAACAATTAAAGAATAAGTACAAACCAAAACAATAACAACAGAAGAATGGAAGATATACTTTGAAACTATATAATGACACAAACATAGGTGAGATAATAGGACAGGAACGTGAAACCGAATACAACGAAGACAAATAGAACCAAAATCAGACAATAACAAAACAGAAAATTGAACTGGTAGTGTCTAAGCTGAAAAATCGGAAATCATCAGGACTGGACAAACGCAAATTTTATTAAATACCACATAAAATGTGACAAAGGTGCCAAAACAGTAGAAACTAAGAATCACAATCTCGATTTCAAAAAAGGGAGAAAAAATTGTTTCATAAAACTATAGAGGTATAAGTCTGTTAAGCGCAAAAATCCCAGCAGAAGTGAAGAAAAGCAGGAGCTTCGACAAAACAGACTCACCTTAGATGCAATATTAATTTTAAGACAAATAGTGGAAAACGCCTTTGAGTATAACAAAATTGCTTTTATGTTCTTTATCGACCTAGCGCAAGCCTTTGATAGGGAAGGACAGGAATTTGAATCCCAACACAATTGAGATCATTTAAAAAATGAACGTTGGAAAAAGCACCTTTACAAAAGCAAACAATAAGCTTTCAAACAAGATACCAGTCTCAACAGGAATCACGCAAGGGTTTGTCTCAGCCCAATACTTTATAATAATTTAATGGATAAGATCATTATGGAAGTAACATAGTAGTAGTAACATAGAAGTAACGTAGTTGAAGTAACATCAGCATTTGCTACGCTGGCGACGGTGTGATAATATCGGAAGATGAGGACAATCTGCAGAAGTACTTTATAGATTCGAAAGAGTTGAATAGGAATTAAACAAGGTGATCTCTGTCCAGAAAATAAAGTCTCTGACAAAATCAAGGGTACCGAGAAGCTGTAAGTTAGCGATCTACAATAAAAGTGTAGAACTGATTATGTCTTTGAAATACCTAGACGTTCATGCCACAAGCAATAGAAATCTTAAAGAAGATGTTTGATCGCAAAAAATAGCAGCAGCTAGGGTATCAGGATATCTGATGGAGAAATAAACGTATGAGTACTGAAAGTAAATTGCGAATTAACAAGACATGTGTGGGACCTAATATGACCTACGCCTCAGAAACAGTTGCTATTAAACAACTACTAAGAACTTGAAGACAGAAGACAGAAGAAATGAAGACGCCAAGATCAATTACGGGCAAAACGCTTCAAGAAGAATCAATATCAGAACCCAATGTGACATTGCAGACATTGTACGACGGTCCAGAATAAGAATACGAGCAGGGAGAAACGAACCAACCGTATACCTCCAGAAAGACAGGGATTTCTCGTAGAAAATTTAAATTATCAACATAAAGGTTACTGGTTATCTAGAGCACAATAGGCACATGATTTGCCTGATGTTCTTAGGCCACATTATATTGTTCTTAAAAGGATTATTAAAGTTTTAATGTAGTTGGCTTTGCCCCTTACATTACCTCTTTAAATAAGCGCGAAAACTGTAAACTTAACCAAAAGTTTGCCAAAATAACTTTGTTGAAATACGTGTTCGGAATGGAATGCGGTGTTACTTTAGATCAACAATCTGCACGGTTGGGACACTTCCAATACATACTSATAACATTTTTTTCGTACTGTGCCTACCATATTTTAATTTACAMCAGTCACAATTTACATTTGTGTACATTTGTACACAATTTATTTATTTATTTAATTGKCAAACCTYTACAGCAAATTATGCATAAAACKGCGAAACCCTGCAGAGATAAACAATAAAAAAATCCAACATACTGTCAAGCTGTCAAGAAACCTTTCGTATTCTATTATATTAGATATGAAGGTACATTATTAACAGTAAAAACCGTCGAACTCAGTTAGATTTTATGCAATCATTTAACATACTGACGTGTGATCTTGTATCTAGATACAATACTTTGTATTCATTTCATTCAATTTATTGAAAGTCGGAATTGCCCTTTAGTGCGAATTTTTATCACTTGCTCTTCTCTTCTCGCTTCTTCTTTCTTTCTTTCTTTTTTGGAACAATCAGATTTTTTAGCGTTTCAAAAGTATTTAAGTAACTGCTCTAAATTCATAGGATTGTCGTCTATAGGGTCCTTTTTATTGACTATTCTTAATAATTTATTTTGTAAGTTTTGCAATCGATTTGTGTTATGTTGATAGGCCCGCCAATCCCACAATTCCATTACTGATAATACAATGAGAAAAGCATAATATTCTATTTCTAGTGTCATGGTTGGCATAACTTTGGCAATTTTATAGAAAATGTAGACTGAGTATTTTGTTTTTTATATAATATAGCGGATATGCTTGTCCCATTTCATGTTATGATCAAATACTAGACCTAAATATTTAAACTCTTCCACTCTCTCTATAAGACTATCTTCAATGTTGATGTTGCTCTTTGATGGAACACTGTCACTATAGTTGCCGAAAGTCATACAGTAGTTTCTACATTAAGAGGTATTTGTTTGGCACCCACAGCACTCATCGACAATTTTTAAACAAGCATTCATTTTTGCTTCAACTTCACTCCAAGTATCACCATTAGCAATCACCACAGTATCATCTGCATACCATAAAATTGACTCAATGGGAAGATGTCATTTATATACAGAATGGAAAGCAACGGCCCCAAAACTGAACTTTGTGGAACATCAGTTTTTAAGACCATATAATCACTATATATCTCATTTATTTTGACCATTTGTGATTATTACGAACATAGCGTAAAAGCAGATCCAGAGCGATTCCTCTTATTCCATAACAGTAGAGTTTGTCTAATAATATTTTAGGGTCAACAGTGTCAAATGCTTTTGCCAAGTCAAGAAATGTTATCAGCATAGGTCTAATAGCATACAGTTTATTGTAAATTAAATTTGTGATATGATATAAAGCATTTTTGTAGCTATCTTTGTCATAAAACCAAATTGATGATCGGATAATATATTATTAATTTTCATGAAATCAAAAATTATATTGTAAGTTATATTTTCTAAAATTTTAGCTATGTTTGATATTAGTGATCTTGGTCTATAATTAGATATATCGTGTTTATCTCCCATCTTATGAATATGTACAATTTCTGCCTTCTTCAATGTTTCTGGTCAGATAGCTTGTTTTAGAGATTCAGAAATGTAATTTGATAATTCTTTCAAAGTTTCACTATAATTTTTCTATATTGTTTGTATTGCTTTTTTAGTCCTTCATTTGTACAATCTTTTTGCCATAAGTGATAAGATATCCAGTTTTTCCTTTGTTGTTTATTATCATTTTTATTTACAACTGTATCTTTGTATTACAAATGCATGTTTTCATCTTATTTATTAATTTATCTGTTGGTGTGTTAGCATCCTGTTCTAATAATTACAATATTTCTTGTTTATGATCATTTTTATTTACAACTGCATCAGAGTCAATGATAGTTTTCATCTTATTTATTAATTTATATATTGCTGTGTTAGGATCCTGTACTAATAATTACAATATTAGAAGAAAAGTACCTTAGTCTTTAACTTGAACATCTTCTTTCACGAAATCTAATGGTTTGCATCTGATTATAATCGGATTATATAATAAATCAACAAAATCTTCCAACATAAATATTGTGCCATAAAAAATTGATGCTTTCTTCATCTCATAAATTTGCTACCACCTTTGGTGGAACAACTGCGTAATAAAATCGCCCACAAAAAAAGTTACGAAAACTTCATCGCTTTTGTCTTATGCCTTTTTGGATATAATTTAATAATTCAAATGAAAATACTTAAGACTTTAGAGATTAATTTGAGTTAAAAAACGTTGATAAGCCTTAATGTTTACTCACGTTTGCTTGAAAGGACTGGTCGTCTAGATGTTGCTTTAGGGCAAGAACAAAGGGTGTATTTGCTCTCTTCACAATTTCGTTGAAAGAAAGCGTCAAACTTCTCGGTCGGTTAAATTCGAAGTAAGTCGAGACGGAAGTTCCGTTGGATTTCAACAGTCGTCCAAACAATCTCATGAATCCGTTGCCCAACTGCACAAGTTCTAGTCTTCTATCTGAAAATGTGTCAAGTTAAAATTCGGTATTAATAGGAAATAGTTTGGAATTTGAAAATATATTAGCAATTTAAGCTCTAATCGGTTAAAGCACTTTGCTAGTGGGGGATTTAAAGTTTGTCGGTCAACCATTTTCTTCAGAAAAAAAAACGATAATAATGTTTTATTTATGACGGACTAATACTTATAATAATATTCTAGAGAGCACTCTTTTTGAAATAAAAATATTAATAGTTTTAAAATGGAAACCATTTTTACTGAAAGTCTGAAATTATACGTCCGTTTATTAATATTTAATCCTACTTAGTTGACTAATAGAACTCTCTGCGAAAATTGTTCTTTAATTAAACATGTGTCTATGGTTTATGTATTTTAACGTTTTGTACTAATCTGGACAATGCAACCGGCTTAGTAAAATAAACAATTCACATTTTAGCGCCAGATATTCGGTATGTATAAAGCAACAATTTCATGTTTGTTGTCCTTCCAACAAATTGCTGCACTGGCAAAAGAAAAACAAAACCTGTCGAGTGGTCTCTAAATAACTCTACTTTTCACTGCAAAATTTTAAACAGTAATTTTCTTTCCCTTTATAAAAACTTATAACCTGCATACGTTGTTGTAATACTTGTTGAATCAACTTCAGTCTTGACTTGAAACTAGCTTCATCATATTATTTCGAATAAAAACACTATACTCAAAGTTTCTAGGTGTATTCTCTACAATATTGAAACATCTCTGAATTTTGAAGAGTCCATATTATTCGAGGGAAAAGCCCTAAACTATTTTTTGTTTCCCATAAGTCTTTCGTCAGCGTCTGGACGTGATTAACTCTCATTCTGATTTCCTGGTATTATCTTCTGTCATATCCACTTATGTATTATTATATTATATTATTATAGTTATAATTTTATTGGCGAATAAAATAGAATAATAAACTAAGATTCAGCGAGAGGGTTAATTAAACGTTTACGTTGACACTTTTCTCAGGGTCCGGTTCACTTCCATACATGCAGTTCTCTTCAAGAATCAAATAATTTCTACTGAAAAGAACTCGCCATTGCGATTTAGCAATTTAACGTTAGCGCAATTCTTGTAAGACAGGTACTAAGTTTGATGCGGTATTTACGGTACACACAGTTACTGAGCAATTAGTAATTTACTTTTCTATTCCCGAGAGAGTCGAGGCGGAAGCCATCACCCATTATAATAAATAATTTATAATATCGTTTTGTCGGTACGAGACAGAAGACAATTTTTATTCATAACGGACTAGTAATTGTTAATAACATTATAGAAGGCCTCATATTTGAAATTAACATATCGACGTAACCACCCTGATGTGAAAGGGACGTTTGCTGTTTTAAAATTTAAAATTATTATTAAGTTCAATTAACATGAGTTGAAATAAAAATAAGATTTGCATTCTTACTTACCCCATACGTGAACTTGGCAACCTTAACCAGGAATTTATTTCAAAGTTTTGTTCAAAGCGTGCAGAAACTCCGATCTTTACAAGATTACGTGAGATAGCTTAAATATTCTGGAAATTGATCCGTTTGAACACTGGCAGGAAGTTGAATGATCGAAATAGCGTTTTAAATATTTTTAATTTAATGTTGTTGTTTCTGTGTTCTCGTAACAGATACATAACTGATAGTTTCATTAACAGTATACGTGAAATGGAAAGATGTTTTTCCTTATTGGGGATTCGATCTGGGCAGTGGTAAGAAAAAGACAAAAAGATTTTTAGCTAGCAAGCTTTCGGCGATTTCATTCCCGCTTTTTTCGGGGTGTTAATTGTTTCCAATAAAACATCTGCGGACCCTCCAGAATCTTATAATTTTGTGAATTTGGTAAAACGTTTCCTTCTTAAGGCTATGAACGTAAGTCACGTCAACGACAAAAACTAAAAATTCACAAATAACTGTTTGCAGAGAGACAAAGGCACGTACACCGATAACAGCATATTCACTGACGAGATAAAAGCACTGTACATTACATTACAATGATTTTTAAGAAATCATTGTTAATTAGCACCCTTAACAAGACAGATAATAAATGGTCGAGAGCTTGGTAGTTAAAAAAGTTTTTCCTCTTCTCACTACTGCTCACACCAAATCCCCAGGAAGGAAAAACATCTTTCCAGTAACAGACACATTTACAGTTTTTCCCAACTATGTTACTTAAAAATTATTTTGCTCTACTCGCAAATCAAGTAAGTATATCAAAAAACTCTTTGCAAATTATAAAAAGGGACACAAGAATCCACCCAGCAATGAATAAGAATTTTACGAAATACAAGAAACTTTCCCACTGCTAATGGAAAGTGACTTCATGTGTCAAAGTGACACCTCAAAAGAGTCAAGTTCTTGATTTTGCCTATAGATAGAGTGTGTTCCTGTTCAGAACTTACCACCTTTGAAAAATCTTAAATTTATTTAAATTTTTTTTATTTGCTTTTTGTTACCTTGTTTATTATTTTGTTGTTTGTTATCTTGTTATCGGAACATACGGAACCAGGTCGACTTTATGATGATTAGCGGTTGCTTGCGAAACAGTATTACCGCTGTGAAATCATTCCCTGGAGCGGATATAAATATGGACCTCAATCTGCCCTCAGTACAGAAAAAATTAGACGTAAAATCAAGGACGCATGGTTGAGAGTCTCTTGCCAAGAAATAGAAAAACTTCAAAAGAAACATGATGACTTTAATCTACACAGAAAACTTAAAGCCACAGCTGTAATACGAACAGCTAGATATACGAGTATACTCAAAGACTCTACTGGGAAAATCATAACCGATCTAGATCACTGTTGCAGAGTGGGAGAACTATGTGCCCAATCTCTTCGAGGGCGCCGACCGTGACGATGGCTACAAACTTTCTGAGAAGATCTAAATGAGAGGGGATCATCTTCATCATTTAAACATACAGTTACAAATATCTTGGTAGCTGGCTGAATGCTAGGGGAGACTCGGATGAAGAAATGTTAACTCGGATTGGAATAGCTCGCAAAACATTTATATCATGGAACCCAGTTCTGTGCAATAGAAATCTCTCCATGCATCTGCGAAGAATCATCTTAAAGTGCTACTTGTTGTCAACGTTGCTCTATGCTTGCGATACGTGGACGTTGAAAGCTGCCACCATTAATAAACTTGAGACTTTTGAATGTGGTGTCAGCGTCGAATCCTGAAGATACCTTGAATTACACACATCTCCAATGAGGACGTCCTAAGAATGATTCACGCAGAGAGGGAGGTTCTGAAGACCATCAAGTCGATAAAGACCCAGAACTTTGGTCATAGTATCAGAGGTCCAAGATATCACTTGTTTCGACTCATAATACAGGGCAAGGTAGGAGAGAGATGGATTGGTGGAAAGAAACTGCCCTTGCAGTACAACATCAGGCACTGGAGAGATCTACAAGTGGAAGACCTCTTTAGAATAGACAGAGATGGGTTCCACATAATATATGATAGCCAACGTCTGAACCCAGGCATGGCACCCCAAGAAGAAAAAGATTTGTTTTTTAGTTCATTCTTGGTCACACATTAATATGCAGTGTGTCCGGGACACTGTATATTCAGAGAATATACAGTGTCCATTGTCGTGAAAGAAATTAAAATTCGTTCGAAGATACATTTGCCAAACTCATACCCAATCAATTTAACAGTAAAAAGTGTTTTTAACAATTACTAATTTTCGATAAGGAAGGAAGCATTGAGGAAGAAAAACGCGTGATGTGAGCTATCCTCCGACTGACAACACAAAGCAGCTCACAAAATTTATGAATAGTGGAGAAATTTAAATTGGCGCTTATGAATACCATTAAGATAATAGTTAACCGCACAAGAAGCTGCATGTCTGGGCAGAATGTAAGCAGATGAGTTTTGTTGACGTTTAGTATAAGTATTTTTTGATGGTGTTCATGTACGTTCAACATAGGTATTCTCCCACGTAGTGGAAGTCGAGTGATAACTATTGTAAACTCAGATAAACTGATACGTTATAGATGATAGCACTATTTATATAGCTTTTAGATGTGATATGACACCGCGGACCAAACAGAAGGGAGTTGCAGTTGCAACCTAAATTGAATAGATCTGTTGCTTTTTAATTATGACTGTGTGAAGAAAGTAATCATGGTTAAGCCATATTTATAAAATGAAGTGAAAAAACTACAATGAATCTATCAACCCCCCTCTTTAAGACGTATTCTTAAGAGTACCAATCCACAGACCTGTAGTCTCCGGAATTGACCATAATTTACAATTAGCACGAACGTATAAATATTCGAACTGGTGGAAATAATGTACTGGTGTGTAATGGAGAGCAGTTTCCAGAAGACTCAATGCGCTTCAGGTCATTAGATTTCATGGGTGTAAAATCCTTATGATATTTTATTATCTACAGGCTTAACTTACCTATAACAAAATGCCAGGGAAAAGCTCTACAAAACATCGGTATACTTATAGGTAGATTGTCTATTGCTTCAGTTGGCCTGGAATTGCTTGAATAAATAGCGCCATTTCCAATTGCTGGACCTAGTTTATGTATTTGAAATCTAAAAAAAAACATAATGATATTAAAATACAGTTTTCGTGGGTCATAGGTAAAACAACCATTAAAGAAAAGAAATAAATAATTAGTCGAAGAGATGTTAATCAGGCTGGTTTGAGCGTCGTGGAGGCAGTCAGATCTTGGTGTACGTGCACACGGGCGTCCGAGCTAGGCGATGCGACGCGATAAACGCGGAAATCACAAATTTGCTATATTATAGTACATTGTGCATACTACTACTACAGGGACTGTATACATCACAGTGGCGACAATGGTTAGTCCCGTTTTCTATTGGTTAAGGACTCCATGTGACTAGAATCGCCATTTTGAGGCGAATTGACAGATCTCCACCCAATAGAAACACTTTCGTATAAACGGATACATGGGACACGGGCTTAACTTGTATTATGTCGCCCTTACATACCCTGACTGACTTTTATAGGGTATCATGTTTGCGTGTAGATTAAATGAGTTATGTAATCTTGCCATTAAGTGTCGACCTTTAGACAATATTATATTGCTGTTCGCATAATGAATAAATCACACTGAACAGTTGGTCTAGTGTGGAAGAAATAACATATTAATTGATAGTAAGTTATAAAATATTATTGGTCCGTAAGCGGGTGTATTTTTCAATTAATTAAAACCGAATTTTGTTACTTTTAAGGGTTGACCCTTAGACAATATCAAACCGAATATCTGAACAGATTAAACCAGAGCCCAGGTAGCACAACTGACCAATTAGACGTCTGCGAGACGTCCATATTAAGTCATTTTTGGTCAGTACGTCAATTGACTTAGAAAAGACGTCTGAAAGACGTC